TATATATAGAGAGAGAGGGGGGGGGAGGGGGAGGGAGAGAGGGGAGTACTAGATTGGAAATTGGGTTGTTGATTCATGTAAGAAATTACATGATTGACGAGGGCTCACTGACGCGTTTCAAGCGTTGGTTGGACATGAATATGAATATGTTTGGGTAGATATAAGCAGCTGTCTCGTATAGGCCACTAGGCCTCCTGCAGTTCACTGTATTCTGATGTTATTAATTTCATTGCAGGAAGAGCACGAGGCGACGCAGCCTACCGTAGACGTGAGGGTGAGTAAAACCATTTATTTCCTATGGTTGATGCATTTTATACGCTAGTACAAATTTATTTATAAAAATAAAAAAATCGAAGCTCTAATGGCTCATTGCAGAAAAAAACACAATGCTTATTGTACACACACACACACACACACACACACACACACACACACACGGATGGTGCGCGAACAAGGGGACACAGGTGGAAACTGAGGACCCAGTTGAGACACAGGGACGTTAAAAAGAACTTTTTCAGTGTCAGAGTAGTTAACAAATGGAATGCATTAGGCAGTGATGTGGTGGAGGCTGACTCCATACACAGTTTCAAATGTAGATATGATAGAGCCCAGTAGGCTCAGGAACCTGTACACCAGTTGATTGACAGTTGAGACGCGGGACCAAAGAGCTAGAGTTCAACCCTCGCAAGCACAACTAGGTGCGTACACACACATTGGGGCCTCGCGCCTGAGTAGACAGCGCTTCGGGGTCATAGTCATAAGACCTCGGGTTCGATTTCCGGCCGAGGTAGAAAAAACGAGCAGGGATTCTTTCATCTGGTGCGCCTATTCACCTAACAGTAAATAGGTACCTGGGAGTTAGACAGCTGTTGCGGGCTGCTTCCTGGGGATGTGTGTGTTAGAAATATATGTAGTAGGCATAAGAGGAAAAATAGATTGGATAGAAAGGCGGGGTCCAAGAGCTAATAGCTCGATTCTGCAGACACAAATAGTAAGACAAATACAAATGGTAAAATACACACATTCACTGACATTCATTCACTCACATTCACAAACACACAGGGATCTGGGACAGAAGAGCCGAAGCTCAACCCACGCAAGCAGAACTAGGTGAGTACACACACAAACACTCGCTCACACATACAACATAGACGTTGTCCTGAGGGCCCGGGATTGATTCCCGGCCGAGGCAGAAACAATTGGGCAGAGTTTCTTTTAGCTGACGCCCTGTTCACCTATCAGTAAATTGATACCTGGGAAGACACCTGCTACGGGCTGCATCTTGGGAATGTGTGTTTGTATGTGTGTGTTTGTGTCAGGGAAAATATATAGTAGATATGATTGAGGAAAATAGGTCGGGATTCATTACGTTAGAGAACCGACTGTTAGAAAGGCGGCGTCCAAGAACTAACAGCGTATTCCTGCAGGCACAAATAGTAAATAATAACTTTCACACACAGCCCGTCCTCCTAATAGAACGTCGTATTTTGACGTATACTCTACCTAGGGCCAAAAATAGTCGCGCTAAAAATCGGTAGCGGTTTGCGAAATTGACATCCTGAACCGTTTTCTCTTTTGGGTCATCTGGTAGGTTAGGATAAGGGCGCTTTAGTACGATAGTTTCTTGACGTTTGGAAACCTTAGGAGGACGGGCTGCCTCCCTAAATATATATTAGTATATTTTGGGAGCAGGTTTTCTCAAATACACAAAGTGAATATGATTATATATATATACGACAGAGCCCAATAGGCTCAGGAATTTCCACGGGGCCAAAGAGCCTAACATCAATCCTCCCCAAGCACAACTAGGTGAGCACCTACACACACACAATAGATGAAAATAAGATTTCAACCAGTATAATGAAACTATACTCTCTCTTTCTTTTGCAAGAAACTACTACACGTTAGTAAGGAGAGAGGCAGAGAGGAGCTTTGAGAGCGGTATAGCAGACAAATGTAAATCAGATCCAGGCCTTTTCTATAAATTCATTAAAAGTAAGCTGTAGGTAAAGGATAATATTCAGAGGGTGAAAATGGTGGACAGATACACAGAAAATGAAAAGGAAATGTGTGAAACATTAAACGAAAAGTTCCAAAGTGTGTTTGTACAAAATGAGATCTTCAGAGAACCAGACACAATAAGAATTCCAGAGAACAACATAGAGCGTATAGAGGTGTCTAGAGATGAAGTGGAAAATATGCTAAGTAAGAACAAAGCAGTTGGTCTAGATGGAGTTTCACCATGGGTTCTGAGAGAGTGTGCATCTGAGCTCAGCATTCAACTTTACCTGATCTTTCAGGCATCCCTGTGTACAGGAATCGTAGCAGACGTGTGGAAACAGCTAACATAGTTCCAATCTACAAAAGTAGCAGCAGGGAAGACCCCTCTCAATTATAGACCTGTATCATTAACAAGTGTAATTGTGAAAGTATTGGAAAAACTAATCAAAACTAAATGGGTAGAACACCTAGAGAGAAATGATATAATATCAGACAGTATGGTTTTCGATCTGGAAGATCCTGTGTATCGAATTTACTCAGTTTCTATGATCGAGCCACAGAGATTTTACAGGAAAGGGATGGTTGGGTTGACTGCATCTATCTGGACCTAAAAAAAAGGCTTTCGACAGAGTTTCACATAAGAGGTTGTTCTGGAAACTAGAAAATATTGGAGGGGTGACAGGTATGCTTCTAACATGGATGAAAAATTTTCTGATAGAAAAATGAGGGCCGTAATCAGAGGCAATGTATCGGACTGGAGAAATGTCACAAGTGGAGTACCACAGGGTTCAGTTCTTGCACCAGTGATGTTTATTGTCTACATAAATGATCTACCAGTTGGTATACTGAATTATATGAACATGTTTGCTGATGATGCTAAGATAATAAGAAGGATAAGAAACTTAGATGATTGTCATGCCCTTCAAGATGACCTGGACAAAATAAGTATATGGAGCACCACTTGGCAAATGGAATTTAAAGTTAATAAATGCCATGTTATGGAATGTGGAATAGGAGAACATAGACCCCACACAACCTATATATTATGGGAGAAATCTTTAAAGAATTCTGATAAAGAAAGAGATCTAGGGGTGGTTCTAGATAGAAAACTATCACCTGAGGACCACATAAAGAATATTGTGCGAGGAGCCTATGCCACGCTTTCTAACTTCAAAATTGCTTTTAAATACATGGATGGCGATATACTAAAGAAATTGTTCACGACTTTTGTTAGGCCAAAGCTAGAATATGCAGCGGTTGTGTGGTGCCCATATCTTAAGAAGCACATCAACAAACTGGAAAAGGTGCAAAGGCATGCTACTAAGTGGCTCCCAGAACTGAAGGGCAAGAGCTACGAGAAGAGGTTAGTGGCATTAAATATGCCAAAACTAGAAGACAGAAGAAAAAGAGGTGATATGATCACTACGTACAAAATAGTAACAGGAATTGATAAAATCGATAGGGAAGATTTCCTGAGACCTGGAACTTTAAGAACAAGAGGTCATAGATTTAAACGAGCTAAACACAGGTGCCGAAGAAACATAAGAAAATCCACTTTCGCAAACAAAGTGGTAGACGGTTGGAACAAGTTAGGTGAGAAGGTGGTGGAGGCCAAGACCGTCAGTAGTTTCAAAGCGTTATATGACAAAGAGTGCTGGGAAGACGGGACACCACGAGCGTAGCTCTCATCCTGTAACTACACTTAGGTAATTACACACACACACACACACACACACACACACACACACACACACACACACACACACACACATATATATATATATATATATATATATGTATACACATATATATATATATATATATATATATATATATATATATATATATATATATATATATATATATCGTCGTACCTAATAGCCAGAACGCACTTCTCAGCCTACTATGCAAGGCCCGATTTGCCTAATAAGCCAAGTTTTCATGAATTAATTGTTTTTCGACTACCTAAGCTACCTAACCTAACCTAACCTAACTTTTTCGGCTACCTAACCTAACCTATAAAGATAGGTTAGGTTAGGTTAGGTAGGGTTGGTTAGGTTTGGTCATATATCTACGTTAATTTTAACTTCAATAAAAAAAAATGACCTCATACATAATGAAATGGGTAGCTTTATCATTTCATAAGAAAAAATTTGAGAAAATATATTAATTCATGAAAACTTGGCTTATTAGGCAAATTTGGCCTTGCATAGTAGACTGAGAAGTGCGTTCTGGCTACTAGGTACGACATATATATATATATATATATATATTTTATTAAATATGACCGAAAAAGTAAGATTAATAATTCTAACACGAATTTTCTCAATCTTTCGTACATTATGCTTCACTGTTGGAGGTAAATCAAAAATCACTTCTCCAAAATTCATTTTTATTTCTAGTCTGACGCGACACGGGCGCGTTTCGTAAAACTTATTACATTTTCAAAGACTTCACAAATACACAACTGATTAGAACTTGCGTTTCCCTGATTTTATATCTACATTTGAGTGAGGTGGGAAGGGTGATGTGGCATTACATTTGAGTAAGGTGGGAAGGATGATGTGGCATTAGAGGATATTAATAGGGTATTAAAAGTATTAATATCCTCTAATGCCTTCTTATTAATATCCTCTTATTAATATCCTCTAATGCCACATCATCCTTCCCACCTTACTCAAATGTAATGCCACATCACCCTTCCCACCTCACTCAAATGTAGATATAAAATCAGGGAAACGCAAGTTCTAATCAGTTGTGTATTTGTGAAGTCTTTGAAAATGTAATAAGTTTTACGAAACGCGCCCGTGTCGCGTCAGACTAGAAATAAAAATGAATTTTGGAGAAGTGATTTTTGATTTACCTCCAACAGTGAAGCATAATGTACGAAAGATTGAGAAAATTCGTGTTAGAATTATTAATCTTACTTTTTCGGTCATATTTAATAAAATATGTCTACAGGAAAGACTGCTACCAAAATATACTAATATATATATATATATATATATATATAAACTTCATATTCACTGTGGACATATTCCCTTAAAAGTTCGCTCAAACAGACGCTGATGTGAAATACAGTAATATAGTTTAAAAGATCACATATTAACTATTTTAGGCAGAAAAGACGTTAGCAAAATCTCTACAAAAACTCGCCTAAAAACTATTCATCCCAAGATTGATGCGTCTATGAATGTATGAAAGAATAGAGTTATTCTTTGATCTGATATGTCATTAAGGCGGTTATTTGTGCTGAAATAAATTAATATTTTTCCTTTATATATTTTGTATATATTTGTTCATCGTTTTTATTTTATATGGCACTTTGCACCTCTGTAATTTGTTCGTTCATAGCTGAATTATTTCGTTCACTGCTTAATATATTCGTTCATCGTTAAATTTTTCGTTCACTGCTGAATTCTTTCGTTCACTATTGAATTATTTCGTTCGGTGCTGAATTATTTCGTTCACTGCTGAATTATTTCGATCACTGATGAGTTATTATGTTTACTATTAAATTATTTCGTTCACTGCTGAGTTTCTTTATACCGTATATATAATTATGCAAGCTTGATAATAAGTTGACCAGACCACACACTAGAAGGTGAAGGGACGACGACGTTTCGGTCCGTCCTGGACCATTCTCAAGTCTTATTGATAATAAGTTATTTGTATATGGCACACTTTGCTCTTAAGCCTATGTCGTTTAGTCTTAGCCCACGGAATAACACACGGAAGCTCCTCAGGAAACGACACAACAGGTCGTCATAGGTCTTCAAAACACAATTATAGGAAATGTCGTCGTAGGTCCTCAGACCACGACACAACAATAGGGAAGGTCGTCGAAGGTCCTCACAACAATTGGGGAAAGTTTTCGTGGGTTATAAAATACGGCACAACAATAGGAAAGATAGGTCGTTGTAGGTCTTTGTACCACGACACAACGATAGGGAAGGTCATCACAGCTGTTCGTGACACGACACATAAATAGGCAAAAATCGTTGTAACTCCCCATAACACGACAATAAGGAAGGTTGTCACGTCCTCATATCACGACCCAACAACAGATGTCGTCTTGGCCCTTGACAGCACGACACAACACCAGACGATATTATCATGGCCACCCTACAGCACGACAAAAATGAATGTGAGGTCGTCATGGCTCCTCACAGCACGACACTCCAGCGGTAGAGAATGTTGTTATGGCTCCTGACCACTTCATAACAGCAGATGATGTCGTCGTGACCCTTCACAACACGACACAACAGCAGGGCAAGTCGTTGTGTCCAGATCTACCGGACTCCTCCTCCAAGTAGGAGGCCGCCGCCGCCGCGTGCTTCCGCTTCCTACGCTTCTCGTCGTCGCTGTCGTTCTCACCGAACCTGAAGCGATATCTGTCGCTCTCTTGGCTGCTGCTCCGGCTGCTACTGTCTCGGGACTTCCTACATCTCTTCGGGCTCCAGTCGCTGCTCTTCTCTTCCCTGTGATACGAGACTTCGAACCCTCCTATTTCTCCGATACTCCTTTTGCTACTGTGGCTACTGACACTTTTGCTCCGTCTGCAGCTGGCGAAGACTCCCCGGTCACTGCCGGGGCTGTCCGGGTGACCTTGGTCGCTGTAGGTGAACTCGTACCCACCACGACCACGGTCGTCGTCCTCGTCGTCGTCATCCTTGCCCCATGATCCGCCATCGTGGTAGCCGCTGTTGTACTTGTCATCTTTGTTGCTGTCCGAGCTCTCGTAGCCGCCTCCGCCGTAGCCATAAGCGTTTCTGTTATTACTGCTGCTGCTACTGCTGCTACGCTTGTCGCTGTTGTAGCCTCGACCGTAGTCCCGCTCGTCACTGTCACTCATCTGAAAGTAGAACAAAACAAAACAAACAGTTATTATGTGACCCAGATGGTATTTATGTCAATAATACAGAGTTTGACATTTAAAAACATTGATTTTGCTAATATTTGCTGTGAGGGGTTGATGCGCAGTAGCACTCATGCTGTGAGTGGACATGCGCAGCACCACTCATGCTGTGAGTGGACATGCGCAGCACCACTCATGCTGTGAGTGGACATGCGCAGCACCACTCATGCTGTGAGTGGACATGCGCAGCACCACTCATGCTGTGAGTGGACATGCGCAGCACCACTCATGCTGTGAGTGGACATGCGCAGCACCACTCATGCTGTGAGTGGACATGCGCAGCACCACTCATGCTGTGAGTGGACATGCGCAGCACCACTCATGCTGTGAGTGGACATGCGCAGCTGTGAGTGGACATGCGCAGCACCACTCATGCTGTGAGTGGACATGCGCAGCACCACTCATGCTGTGAGTGGACATGCTTCCATAATGGGCATATATTGGACTGTGGCATTCAGCCTGTGAGTGATGATAAGTAATGAGTGTTGTAGCGGACTGTTGTAGCGGACTGTTGTAGGCTCATGGAAGTCCTGTGATTGTTCAAATGTATAATTTAGATCCGATGTTGTGTGTGGCAGTGAATATCCACCGTCCCACTCACTGTCCACCGTCCCCTCTCACTGTCCACCGTCCCCTCTCACTGTCCACCGTCTCTCTCACTCCCTCTGATAGTATAATCTTTAGCGTCACCGTTGAGATAGTGTCCCGCGTAAAGCAGTTTTTTATTATTATTATTTTCTACCACAGACGTGGCCACACATTTACAATGCTAACCAGCTTATATACATTTTCTTCTGTCCTGTCCTCCATGAACAGGGTTTGAGATGTGTTAAACATATGCAGGAATTTATTGAACAATCAACCACAGAAGGTGATTGTAGTGCTCTTTAAAATGCTAGGCTAAGCTACATACGTGAAATACATAGACACACAGATTTATGTATACTACATAAAGTTTTTGATGTGTCTTTTACATTGTGTCATTAAGGTGCATTTGCAAAGATGATATGTAATCCTGATCAGCTTCCAGGTGCATTTGCAAAGATGATATGTAATCCTGATCAGCATCCATTGAAAAATATACTTTTAGAGGGATACACACACACAATGAGACACACACGTACATATATATACATACATATATACACACACATGCATTCACATACATTTGTCTCACTCTGACAGGGTGAGATAGCTGATAGAGAAACTAGTGTGGAATTAAGAACTTAACCACTGAAGGTGATTAAGGTGCTTTCATGTGCCCAGGTTATATAGTTACATCACATACATTGTATAATTGATACATTACATGGTCAATTTAGGGTACAAGTCCAATATATCATCAAGTGTTCCAGTACTCACATAGTAGTTACAGAGTTCAGCATACCTCAGCCCAGGAGGGCGAAAGTCAGTCAATATGGGACATTCTACAATATAATGTTCAAGTGAGTGCATGTTTTCTCTCTCACAAAGTTGACACATTGTAAAGCAGTGTGAGGTGATTAGGTCTAGTCAGGTGTGACACAAAGGAACTTTGTAACACAGCATCAACATGGGTTCAGGAATGGCAAGTCCTACCTCACAGTATTAATTGAATTCTACGACCAGGCAACAAAAATCAGGCAAGAAAGAGAGGGATGGGCAGAATACATATTTTTTGATTACCAGAAAGCCTTTGACACAGTACCACACAAGAGACTAGTGCAAAAGCTGGAGATGCAGGCAGGAATGAAAGGGAAGGTACTCCGTTGGATGCGGGAGTACCTAAGTAACAGAAGACAACGAGTCAGTGTGAGGGTTGAGGTCTCAGATTGGCGAGGCGTCACCAGTGGAGTCCCGCAGGGTTCAGTCCTTGGACCTATACTGTTTCTGATATATGTAAATGATCTCCCAGAGGGTATAGACTCGTTCCTCTCATTGTTTGCTAATGATGCAACAATTATGAAGAGGAAGTAAGACGGAGGAAGATAGTATGAGCCTACAAGATCACCTAGACAAACTGAATGAATGGTCCAACAAATGACTACTAAAATTCAGCCTGAGAAAATGTTAGGTAATGAAACTAGGCGGTGTAAACAGGAGACCAGGTACAGGATACAGAATGAGAGATGAAGTCCTACATGAAACGGACAGAGAGAAAGATCTAAGAGTTGATATCACACCAAACCTGTCTCTTGAAGCCCACATAAAAAGAATATCTGCGGCGTATGCGAGGCTGGCTAACATCAGAACTGCCTTCAGGAACCTGTGCAAGGAATCATTCAGAACCTTGTATACCACATATGTAAGACCAATCCTGGAGTATGCGGCCTCAGCATGGAGCCTGTACCTTGTCAAGCACAAGACGAAGCTTGAAAAAGTTCAGTTATGCCACTAGGCTAGTCCCAGAACTAAGAAGCATGAGTTACAAGGAAAGGCAGCGTGAAATGCACCTCACGACACTGGTAGACAGAGTGAGGGAGAGACATGATCACTACCTACAAAATTCTCAGAGGAATTGACAGGGTAGATAAAGATAAAATGTTTAACACGGAAGGTACGCGAACAAAGGGACACAGGTGGAGACTGAGTACCCAAATGAGCCACAGGGACGTTAGAAAAAACTTTTTCAGTGTCAGAGTAGTTAACAGATGGAATGCATTAGGCAGTGATGTGGTGGAGGCTGACTCCATACACAGTTTCAAGTGTAGATATGATAGTCCAGTAGGCTCAGGAATCTGTACACCAGTTGATTGACGGTTGAGAGGCGGGACCAAAGAGCCTGAGGACAACTAGGTGAGTTCTCACCACACCCTTGGAGGCCTGGCGATTAAGTGAACAGCGCTCGGGGTTCGTAGTTCTAAGGGGCCCGGGTTCGATTTCCGGCGGAGGCGGAAACAAATGGGCAGATATTCTTTAATCCTGATGCCTCTGTTCACCTAGCAGTAAATAGGTATATGGGAGTTAGCCAGTTGTTAGGCTGCTTTCTGTGTGTGTATGTGTACTCACCTAATTGTGCTTGCGGGGGTTGAGCTCTGGCTCTTTGGTCTTGCCTCTCAACCGTCAATCAACTGGAGTACAGATTCCTGAGCCTACTGGTGTGTGTGTGTGTGTGTGTGTGTGTGTTTGTGTGTGTGCGTTTGTGTGTGTGCGTGTGCGCGTGTGTGTGCGTGTGTGTGTGTGTGTGTACTCACCTAGTTGTACTCACCTAGTTGTGTTTGCGGGGGTTGAGCTCTGGCTCTTTGGTCCCGCCTCTCAACCGTCAATCAACAGGTGTAAAGTGTGTGTGTGTGTGTGTGTGTGTGTGTGTGTGTGTGTGTGTGTGTTAGTGTAATAAAAAGAGAATATGTAGTAGTGTAGTAGGTTGTTAGTGAGTGTGTTTACAGACACAAATGTGTGAGTGGGTCCCGGGTTTGTGTGTGTTGGGAAATGTTTGTGTGTGCAGTAAATAGGTGTTTGTTGTGGGTGTGTGTGTGTGTTGTGTGTGTGTTTTGTGTGTGTGTGTGTGTGTGTGTGTGTGTGTGTGTTTGTGTGTGTGTGTGTGTTTACTATTTGTGCTGCAGAATCGAGCTATTAGCTCTTGGACCCCGCCTTTCTAAACGATAATTATTTTTGCTCTATTATGTCTACTACATATATATTTATCTCTAACACACACACACACCCATCTCCAGGAAACAGCCCGTAGCAGCCGTCCAACTCCCAGGTACCTATTTACTGTTAGGTGAACAGAGGCATCAGGTGAAAGAAATTGCTAATTTCTTTTGCTCCTCGGTCGGGAATCGAACCCGGATTGTTAGGTCTACGACGCCCCGAGGGCTGTCCACTCAGCCGCGAGGCCTCCGCTGGGGTGTGGTGTGTACTCATCTAGTTGTGCTTGCGTGGGTTGAGCTCTGGCTCTTTGGTCCCGCCTCTCAGCTATGTGTGTGTGCGTGCGTGCGTGTGCACGCATAGAGAAATGTTGCCGGAACAACCGTGGACATCTTCAAGAGAAAACTAGATTGATTTCTAAAAAAAAAAAAAAAAGTGCCGGACCAACCGGGCTGTGACGGGTATGTGGGCCTGCGGGCCGCTGCAAGCAACAGCCTGGTGGACCAAGCTCTCACAAGTCAAGCCTGGCCTCGAGCCGGGCTTGGAGTCGTCGAAGAACTCCCAGAACCCCATCAAGCAGGTATCAAGCACGTTTATGTACACATGTATTTGGACACACATGCGTACACGTACATGAGTAGCATAAACATGTACATGTCAACAGAAATATATATACAAGTAAGCGTATACGCAGGCGCAGTGTCCACTAACGCACAAAGAGGAAGCAGCCAACAGCTGGCTCCTCCACCCCTCAGTGTGACACAACCAACCGCTTACCTCACTAACGCGTGACAACTTGGCTTGTAACAACAGCACTCACAAGCACCTTTTTCTCTAACACACAGGTATTTATGTCACAAGGGAAGACAGAACCAGCGGCAGAAGAGGGCCGGTGCCGCCAGGAGGAGCCACACTCCGGTACTGATCCATATCCGCAGTAAGCAACTGAACGCCACGTGACGTCACTGGCAGGTCCGCAGTCACTTCACACTAGGCAGTGACGTCATCTTCCGTTTTCTACGAGTTGGCAACCAAGCAACAAGGGGGAGTTGGTTTATTTATTAAATATTTACCAGGAATGGTAAAGTACAGTGGTTTAGGACTATTAGTACCATTTAGTACAGTACCGTTGTATAGGAAGTACAATGGTTTATATATTTTAATTTGGTGATTAAATGGTTAAGTGACGCAAATACGCATGGCGTTGTCAGCGTATAATATATTTCACAGCAAAAAACTGATTATATTTTATGGTAAATATATGTGCTGTATTACTGCCCTCGACAACGAAATATATTCACCCAGAACTGTTCCAAATTTCTTTGTGTATATATTCTGTATACTTTGTCAGATAAAAGTATATACTTGCTGGATGGTCAATAAACTATTGTGGTGGTCTTAGTAATTCTTTACAGGTTGATAGACTTTAATAACCCTCCAGGGGTTAATAGATCTTATTACCCCTCTAGAGGTTGATAGACCATAATCCTCTATAGGTTGATTGTGATACCCTTCCATAGATTAATATACATTCTTCCCCCTCTATAGTTTAATAGGCCTTAATAACCCTCCCATGAGTGATAGACCTTAAGCCCAACAGCTAATCAACTTATATATCTGGTTATAAAGTCTTAAGGATATTTAATTGCTAAACAATGATCACCCGATGAAAAATCCTGATATAAAATTGTAATTTGATGATAAGGCTTAATGAGGCATTAATTATTCACTGAATGTTCGATAGATTTTTGTTTTTTTCATTTTCACAAATATTTATTTTGTATATTTTGCCAGCAAGTGACCAACAGTGGTCTCGCCTCTTGCTGGGGTTGTGTACCTCTGTTGGTTGTGTGCCTCTGTTGCTGGGGTTGTGTACCTCTGTTGCTGGGGTTGTGTGCCTCTGTTGCTGGGGTTGTGTACCTCTGTTGGTTGTGTGCCTCTGTTGCTGGGGTTGTGTACCTCTGTTGCTGGGGTTGTGTACCTCTGTTGGTTGTGTGCCTCTGTTGCTGGGGTTGTGTGCCTCTGTTGCTGGGGTTGTGTACCTCTGTTGCTGGGGTTGTGTACCTCTGTTGGTTGTGTGCCTCTGTTGCTGGGGTTGTGTACCTCTGTTGGTTGTGTGCCTCTGTTGCTGGGGTTGTGTGCCTCTGTTGCTGGGGTTGTGTACCTCTGTTGCTGGGGTTGTGTACCTCTGTTGGTTGTGTGCCTCTGTTGCTGGGGTTGTGTACCTCTGTTGGTTGTGTGCCTCTGTTGCTGGGGTTGTGTACCTCTGTTGCTGGTGTTGTGTACCTCTGTTGGTTGTGTGCCTCTGTTGGTTGTGTGCCTCTGTTGCTGGGGTTGTGTACCTCTGTTGCTGGTGTTGTGTACCTCTGTTGGTTGTGTGCCTCTGTTGGTTGTGTACCTCTGTTGCTGGGGTTGTGTACCTCTGTTGGTTGTGTGCCTCTGTTGCTGGTGTTGTGTACCTCTGTTGCTGGGGTTGTGTACCTCTGTTGGTTGTGTGCCTCTGTTGCTGGTGTTGTGTACCTCTGTTGCTGGGGTTGTGTACCTCTGTTGCTGGGGTTGTGTGCCTCTGTTGCTGGGGTTGTGTACCTCTGTTGGTTGTGTGCCTCTGTTGCTGGGGTTGTGTACCTCTGTTGGTTGTGTGCCTCTGTTGCTGGGGTTGTGTACCTCTGTTGCTGGGGTTCTGTACCTCTGTTGGTTGTGTACCTCTGTTGCTGGGGTTCTGTACCTCTGTTGGTTGTGTACCTCTGTTGCTGGTGTTGTGTACCTCTGTTGCTGGGGTTGTGTACCTCTGTTGCTGGTGTTGTGTACCTCTGTTGCTGGGGTTGTGTACCTCTGTTGGTTGTGTGCCTCTGTTGCTGGGGTTGTGTACCTCTGTTGCTGGGGTTGTGTACCTCTGTTGCTGGGGTTCTGTACCTCTGTTGGTTGTGTACCTCTGTTGCTGGGGTTCTGTACCTCTGTTGGTTGTGTACCTCTGTTGCTAGAATTGTGCGCCTCTATTAATGTTGAAAAGGTTGCACACACCTGTTGAACAGTTGTGCTCACTGTTGTCGGGGTTGTGTACACCTGCATTACAGTAGCTCGAGCAGCACAACATTTAGCTAATACGTCGCAATTTTGTTTTACTGAATCGATTAATGCGTTGAAAATACGACGTATTGGTATAAATTAAATCACCGCAATATTGACGTTTCTATGCATCAGCCTCGATAGGTTAGGTGGGTTGCTTGGGTTTGCACGTTTCTGGTTAGGCAAAACTATGGCATTTTTTTCCTGTAGTGGCGGACAGTTACTCCTTCAAGACCTTCCTGCGTCTAGAAATTCTCTCTAGCAGTGATTGTGGTAATTAAGGAAAACCTTTAGAACTGTTTCATAAAAGAGGGAAGAACCGGTTTTTTAACGAGTGAAGAGCGGTTTATAAACGAGGTAAGAACCAGCTTGTAAATTAGTGAAATCCAGTTTATTGAAGTCTGAAAAACCGGCTAAAGCGAGGAAGAACCGGTTTACAAGTGCGGCACGAACCGGTTTACAAGTGCGGCACGAACCGGTTTACAAGTGCGGCACGAACCGGTTTACAAGTGCGGCACGAACCGGTTTACAAGTGCGGCACGAACCGGTTTACAAGTGCGGCACGAACCGGTTTACAAGTGCGGCACGAACCGGTTTACAAGTGCGGCACGAACCGGTTTACAAGTGCGGCAAGAACCGGTTTACAAGTGCGGCACGAACCGGTTTACAAGTGCGGCACGAACCGGTTTACAAGTGCGGCAAGAACCGGTTTACAAGTGCGGCACGAACCGGTTTACAAGTGCGGCAAGAACCGGTTTACAAGTGCGGCACGAACCGGTTTATAATCGCGGGAGCGGAAATAGTCTCTGCCTGAAAACTAAATTGATCCGAGACAAGGAACTGCTAAACTATTCATGTTTACCCTTTACCGTTCTAGTAATCTTTTCTTCCTGCCAAATCCTCTCCATCACCCCAGATCCTCTTCCGGCTTCCCGCCAAATCGTCTCCCCTTCCCGCCAAATCCTCCATCCTTCCATAATACTCTTCCCATCCTCCCACCGACCCTACCTGTTGTTGCTTGGTATCAACATCCTTGCAACTCGGTCTCTGACCAGTTCTCCTGGTTGGTGAACTGGTCAACCAGACTGTTGGACAGAGCTACACGCAGCCAGGATTCGAACCGGGTATTTGTTCATCTAATGTTAATTTGTTTGATTTGCCTAAAAAAAAAAAAATGTGAAATACTAATAAGGACGGGACGTAATCATTGCCAGATTAGTGTCACCGCTGGCAACAGGTCGCTCTCCAAACACAATTTCCACGGAGCAAGTGATGCAAGATCTTCCTCGGTTCAGTGATAATCGCCGGAGCTGGCAGATATCCAAGGATGAAGTTGGTGGAGCGCAGAGGAGCAAGACTTGGACGGTATGATCAGAAGAGCTGACCTGTTGGAAATGTTGATGTGGACTGACCTAAATATACTCGCCTAAATGTGCTTGCAGGGCTTCGTGCTCTTGTACCTGAGCTTTACCTGGCATCAGTTGTTTACATCAGTCCATCCTGAACCTCCCGTTTTTCCTCATATCTATTTTTTTAAATAATGAGTTAGCATCCACTATTTTTCTCTCTTCCATTTCCACTACTCTTACACAGCAGTTTTTGTAACTTCACGGTGACTCAGCTACGCCTCAAGTTTTCGTACATGTCCTCTTGTTGTACTTTGTCTTGTACCCAGCATGTCCTCTTTTTATCATCGTTATCAATTCCTCTGAGAACCTTGTATGTCGTTATTATTTCTCCTGATTCTGTCTCTCCAAGTGTGGCGAGAGTGAGCTCTTTTTGGAGAGAGAGAGGGAGACAGAGAGAGACAGAGAGAGACAGAGAGAGGCAGAGAGAGGCAGAGAGAGGCAGAGAGAGGCAGAGAGAGGCAGAGAGAGAGGCAGAGAGAGAGGCAGAGAGAGAGGCAGAGAGAGAGACAGAGAGAGAGAGAGAGAGAGAGGAGAGAGAGAGGGAGAGAGAGAGAGGCAGAGAGAGAGAGGGAGAGAGAGAGAGAGAGGCAGACAGAGAGGGAGAGAGAGAGAGAGGCAGAGAGAGAGAGAGACAGAGAGAGAGAGAGAGACAGAGAGAGAGAGAGACAGAGAGAGAGAGACAGAGAGAGAGAGAGACAGAGAGAGAGAGAGAGAGAGAGAGAGACAGAGAGAGAGACAGAGAGAGAGACAGAGAGAGAGAGAGACAGAGAGAGAGAGAGAGAGAGAGAGAGAGAGAGAGAGAGAGAGAGAGAGAGAGAGAGAGAGAGAGAGAGACAGAGAGAGAGACAGAGAGAGAGACAGAGAGAGAGAGAGAGAGAGAGAGAGAGAGAGAGAGAGAGACAGAGAGACAGAGAGAGAGACAGACAGAATGAGAGATAAAATAACAATCTGGTGTACGTAACATTCACAACACTTCCTAGAAGGAAGATTCTCTTACCTTCCTCAATCAAGTAGAAACTAAAACCTGTTCCCAGCATGAACATTATGGCGACATAATGACGTCACATCTCATACATACCATATATAAAACACAACATTTTATCTCTTTGTTCGGTTAGCTTAGGATAGGTTATATTAAGATAGGGTCGGGTTAGGAGTAGCGCTGGCATAAAGGGTTACATAGTGTCCTAAGGTTTTACACCCTCTTGAACGCGGCTGTTCCATCACCCACTCCCGATATCAAACCTCAACTACCCCAGAATTCTTCAATATTTCACCACAGGAAAGAGAGAGGCTGAATAGGGAAAAAGCTTTATAGAGCAGTCAACGTCATAGGTGTTGAATATATTTTTTAGCCTGAGGTACTTGCTCTCCCGACTCCTATCCAGTACAGTGGAGAATAATCCTAGATAATCCAGTGAGAAGAGGAGGCAGGAACGGCA